CACAGACACAACCTACCTGTATCTCATTTATCCTCACGAACATGACAGTAAACATAACACAGACACAACCTACCTGTATCTCATTTATCCTCACGAACATGATAGTAAACATAACACAGACACAACCTACCTGTATCTCATTTATCCTCACGAACATGACAGTAAACATACCACAGACAAAACCTATCTGTATCTCATTCATCCTCACGAACTTGACAGTAAACATACCACAGACAAAACCTATCTGTATCTCATTCATCCTCACGAACTTGACAGTAAACATAACACAGACGCAACCTATCTGTATGTCATTTATCCATCCATGACCTGATTTCTATGAGGTGAAGTGCTGAACTTCAAAAAAATGATCCTTAGGGCTGAGGTTTCTGTTTACACCAGACTCAAGTTATTTAAGCATGAATATTTTATATTTTAGCAAGTTTTGTTATTGTCCTATAACACACTATTTGCTATTGATGACAAACTTAATGAAATAATTGAAAAAAATATTCATTGTTATATATATATTCACATTTTTATAGAGTATTCATGCTTTATTTACTTATTTTGAACACTTCTATGAAGGACAAATTAAGTGTTGACAACAATGAAATTGATAACATAACAAAAAAGACTGATGACATTACAATAGCGATTCCCAAATGTTGTTATAGTCTCATAACAACATTTTCCTTCTCAATGCATTTCAATGGAAGGATGCAGAGCAAATTTAAATATCAGTTGTTTCACTCCCACTTTCCTACAGTAAAATAAAGTGTTGTCAATGTGGACCTGATGCGTCGTAACAGGACAGCGTCTCCAGGACACCAAAGACTAACTCAGAAAGAACAAAGCTACACAGAAAACTCTTATAGTCCAATCAGACTGTGACAAATGAATGCTTCAGAAATTGATTAGTCTTTGCACATGGAATCTATCTGTGTAGCAGGGTTCTCAATTTCAGGACGACCAACAAAAGTCACAGGTGAGTAGCAGTTTATGAAACAAATCTAATTTAATGTTGATTTAAGTTTTCTGTTTACAAGGCTGCAATACAGTGTCAGTGGGTGGGAGTTATCTCCCTTGATATATCGTGTTTAACCATCTACACATATAAGTTACAATGTAGTAATTATCTAATGTAATAAAGAAAAACAGTTACAACAAGAGAACTTTGATGGTCCACTTGACCTTGTAATATGTGGAATTAACTGTATGTCCATAATATTAATCTTTGTATCTATTTTATTTAAATATGAAAACCAAATTGATCCTGTTGCTAGGTTCAGTGACAAGTGGTTAAGGTATGTCTTGTGTAAGTATGACTAGGATCACCACATGGTGTCTCTATACAGTGCTTTCTACACAAAAATCATATACTTGCTGTCTTCACAAACAAGAGATCCCAGAGGGATATTGGTGCCCACCATTGTACAATCTTCATTAGTTCTATGTCAGTTCAATCTTTTCTTTTCTCTTATCTGTTTGATCAGTTTGCCTTTCAGCCATCTTAATCAATCCTTTTCATCAACCTCAAAAGTTAACATGCACAACTCAGGACCAAGGGGAACCTACATATCAAATTTGAGAAAAAAATCCTCCAGTAAATTCTGAGAAATAGCGATAACAATTTAAACTGTAACAAGATGGCCAGCCGATATGATTTGATATGCATACTGGTAACTAAGAACAAGAGGAACACTTATTTGAGAAAGATCCCTCAAATACTTTTTGTGCGATAGATCTAAAAAAATTCACCCTCAAATTCAAGATGGCTGCCTGACAGCCATCATGGTTTTGTGATCAGTCCCAAAAACCGATATGCATACCTAGGGATCATGGGGAACCTTCATGTGAAATTTGAGAAAAATCCCTCTAATACTTTATGAGAAATAGCACTAACAAACTTTCATTCTCAAATTCAAAATGGCTGCCTGTCGGCCATCTTGTTTTTCCGATCAGTCCTAAAAATCGATATGCATAATTAGGGATCATGGGTAAACCTTCATGTAAGATTTGAGAAAGATGCCTCCAGTACATTCTGAAAAATAGCGCTAACAATCTTTAACTTTCAAATTAAAGATGGCTGTCATGCCTGTCGGCTATTTTGGTTTTGCGATCAGTCCCCAAAAACGATACGCATAATCCAGTTCTGTCTAAGAAATAGCGCTTACAAGAATTGTTTAAGGACGGACGGAATGATGGATGGACGGACCATGGACCACGGACGCAGGGTGATTTGAATAGCCATTCATCTGATGATGGTGGGCTAAAAACAAATCAAGAGTACCGCGAATGCCATATAGTGTTATATACTTTCTTACATTGAAATAAGATCTGCATCATTCTAAGAGTGGTTAGCTGACATGCTATAAAAAATGTAGGAGAAAATCTCTGGACAAAAAATCAAATACTTAAATATACAAAGAGCAATAACTTTTGGAAAAATTGTCGAATCAAAATTCTGTTAAGGAAACACAACTTCATATCATGATTATTTAGCCTACTAAGTTTCAAAGAAATCCGTCAAAATTTTATGCCGGCCAGCCGGCCGGACAGACAACCTGATACCATAAGAATAAAAGAATATTAAAATTAATGAAAATAAACAGAATTTTGAGGATAAAGATGAGAAAGGTTCACACTTGCAGTCAAAATGTTTTGTTGTGCTGAAAAATTACCACCCACAGAATTAAACTCCAAAACAAGAAGGCAAAACAAAATGTCCTAAACATATCAGCATTAACATATTTTTTTTCAATTTACTCACGTACGCACAAAAAGCATTCTATCATATAAGAGAAAACGAAAAGAAAGACATTAAAAATATCAGTGACAAATAAAATATAAGGTTCTGCAGAACACTTGCTCACTTACCGTTCATCTCTCGCATCGCCCTAACGAAGTCTGTTGGATCGGTGAAGCTAACAAAACCGTAGCCCTTTGTCTTATTGGAGCGTTTGTCTCGGACAACTTTGGCCTTCAGAAACGTTGGATATTTACTGAAGGCACGAGCTAGACATTCATCTGTTACCTCATTCCCAAGGTCACCACAGAATATTCTGAAGTCATCTGCAAAATAATTTTCAGGAGGTATTACAAATACTGAACTTAAAATCAAATATAACTAAAATTCATTTATCATAACATTACTCTTACTTGTTTTACTTCTCAACAAAAACTTTTAAAATATTTATCTGACAAAAATTACATATTTATTGTGTTATATGTATTATTAGATATACACATATGAATGGATCCTCCCCCCCCCCCCCCCCCCCCCCCCCCGCCCCCCCATCATCAATTTGACGAGGTTACAATGTAGGGATATTTGCGAATTAAAGAAGGGAGATTGAGAAGTCATTTCTCTACTAATTATAATTGTTTATCATATTCTTGCATACCTGGTACTAGATCGAGATATCCGCATTTTCGGCGGGGCTGGGAAATTCTATCCGACCCACGGGTCTAAATCCCTTACATGTGCAGACTGGCAGGGGGATTATAGTGACCTTTCGTGGGTCACGCTATTGTTCGTGACGTCATTTTATAACGTTTTGAGCAAAAGACCTGCTCAATATTTTATCCCTTGGGTTTGAATAACCTTATCCATACCTCACATCAGGGATGGATTCTATTATTCTTAGAAAGAAAAAAAGCCCACCATATCCATTTTTGAATCCTCTGTTTAACAGCAAAAATTGCTGCATAAAAATTGTGGAGTTTTGCAATTTGTAACTTACCTAGAGAACACAGGTTTAGCAGACTACCTCTATAAGCTAGTGTGTACTGTAACTTACCCAGGGGACACAGGTTTAGCCCTGCATCATTAAAACACTTAATTTAATTTGAGGGGGAAAACGTGCAATGAAAATTTAGTATAACAAACCAAATTTAAGAAATTCATGTCTGAAAACGAGAGGGCATAAAATAGGAGACTGTCTGGCCTATCAAGAGACCTAACATGTAGGATGGTACTTTGCTCCGTTGGTCTGAGTATGATAAGCAGTATATGATAAGTGCTTTTGGTTACATTTTGTTAGATATACATATTATTTCTACATCAATTTCTCTTCATTATCACTTTCTGACAATTCAATAAAACACAGAAGTGTTGGTTATAAACATTAAATTAACTCATTCACCCCTGAAGACACATATGAACTCTTCCTAATGAAAGGTTGGAATAGTACATTATGATTTTCACAGGTGAATGAGTTAATCATGCAGTATCATCAAATATAGTTTAAGATAATAGAGGTTCCCCAATGAGTGATGGGTGGTTATCTTGTTTATCTTACTCCAGTTAGTTAATTTTCAAATTGTATATAGACAAGGTTTACTAAGTGTCTTTTACAATTTGAAAATTAACTAACGAGAGTTAAATAAACATGATAATCAACCATCACGAGTTTTTAGGGACCTTTTTCTCCTACAAAGTGCTATTATCATATCTGGGGATCTGGGGAAACCATGTTTTATATTTCCAATTGGAGAAACTTTTGCCTGGAAACTACATGATGTCAAAAAGGAAGATGACGTTGCAAAGCATTTTAACACGCAACCATAATTAGAAGATTGACCAATGAATTAACTTCCAAGGTGTTACACACTAGTGCGTAACCAAAGATGTTTACCAACTCCAAGCAGGTTTATTCACCGAGTCTGGAGTGAGGAAACCTACAGCGATTGAGGGAGAAAAATCATACTCTACAATCGGAAGATTTTACCTGATTCCCAGTCGTCAAGTGACGGGTCCTCCCATGTATCACCAGCCGCTGTTCGAATAAACTTTTTCTTTTTATCTTTTTTTGATTTTTTCCCACCAACTCCCGAGTCATCAATATCCGCCTCCATCATATCACATTCCTCCTCAGTGGTGAATGAGGAAGCCGCCATTCCGATATCTGTTGGAATCATCCCTGTTGTAATCGCCCCACCCCTGTCTGCTGTATCTTTACCATGTGTCTCTGTGGCAGATTCTATAACAGTGGTTGTTGCTGGTGTAGTCATTTTGGGCTTTTTAATTTTTCCAGTTTTGGGGTGTAGCCTTACTGGTGCTGCGGAATACACAACCTTTGGTTTCTCAATGACTGTTTCCTGTTGCGACGATGCTGGCACCATGGGGCCCATCGGTCCCATAGGGCCACCAGGTGGCATCATGTGAGGGTTCATTCCCATAGGTGGGTGAGGCGGGCCATTATAGGGGCCATTATAGGGGCCATTGTGGCCTGAGACAGGATGATATGGACCTGGACCAGGACCAAAGTTTCTTGGTCCACCATGTGGTCCCATAAAAGGTCTATTCATACCGTGCATTGGCGGTCTTGGTGGTGGAGGTGGAGGTGTCCAGTTACGAATCTGAGGAGGGACGAAGGACAATGTTGGTGGGGGCGGGGGAGGAGCTATAGGGGGGGCCTCTCCTGATGGCTTATTTTTTGTCAATAAAGATGGAGGGGGAGGTGGTGGTGCTGATAATACTGAAAAAAAAGGAATTTCATTATCATTAATATTCAGACATTAAATGTTCTGTTATTTCACTCAAAAACGAAAAACATTCATATTCAAGGTATTCTCATACTTATATATGTATAAACTTTGGTCAAACTCCTTACAGAAATGATATCAATATACAATGACAAAGAATTATCGGTGACCTTGACACTTGTGTCAGGTATACTTGACCAATACATACAAAACTAGATCAATGATCTTTTTAGAGATGAAGTTGCTAGAGTAATAACAAAATATGAACATATGTTCGAACAAATGTATAAATGAAACGCTAAATTCTAGCCAAGAACTCATGACAAGGGCACAATTACTTCCTACTGTCTCATGAGTGCCTTTATATATAATGTTTACGGTGGTTTTATTTGTCCTTCGATTGCAACTTTGAGACTGCTAAAGTGTATCATTAATTACCTGAGACAGAAATATTTGGCTTCTTACTAGATGTTTTATATAATTACATCAGACAGGGATATTTGCCTCCTTACTAGGTGTTTTATATAATTACCCGAGACAGGGATATTTGGCCCCTTACTAGATGTTTTGTATAATTACATGAGACAGGGATATTTGGCTCCTTACTAGGTGTTTTATATATTTACCTGAGACAGGGATATCTGCCTCCTTACAAGGTGTTTTATATAATTACCTGAGACAGGGATATTTGGCTCCTTACTAGGTGTTTTATATAATTACCTTAGATAGGGATATTTGCCTCTTTACTAGGTGTTTTATATAATTACCTGAGACAGAGATATCTGCCTCCTTACTATGTGTTTTGTATAATTACATGAGACAGGGATATCTGCCTCCTTACTAGATGTTTTGTATAATTACCTGAGACAGGGATATCTGCCTCCTTACTAGGTGTTTTATATAATTACATTAGACAGGGATATTTGCCTCCTTACTAAATGTTTTATATAATTACCTTAGACAGGGATATTTGCCTCCTTACTAGGTGTTTTATATAATTACCTGAGACAGGGATATCTGCCTCCTTACTAGATGTTTTGTATAATTACCCAAGACAGGGATATTTGGCTCCTTACTAGGTGTTTTATATAATCACCTGAGACAGGGATATCTGCCTCCTTACTATGTGGTTTGTATAATTACATGAGACAGGAATATTTGGTTCCTTACTAGGTGTTTTATATATTTACCTGAGACAGGGATATTTGCCTCCTTACTAGGTGTTTTATATAATTACCCGAGACAGGGATATTTGGCTCCTTACTAGGTGTTTTATATAATCACCTGAGACAGGGATATCTGCCTCCTTACTATGTGGTTTGTATAATTACATGAGACAGGGATATTTGGTTCCTTACTAGGTGTTTTATATATTTACCTGAGACAGGGATATTTGCCTCTTTACTAGGAGTTTTGTATAATTACCCGAGACAGGGATATTTGGCTCCTTACTAGGTGTTTTATATAATCACCTGAGACAGGGATATCTGCCTCCTTACTATGTGGTTTGTATAATTACATGAGACAGGGATATTTGGTTCCTTACTAGGTGTTTTATATATTTACCTGAGACAGGGATATTTGCCTCTTTACTAGGTGTTTTGTATAATTACCTGAGACAGGGATATTTGGCTCCTTACTAGGTGTTTTATATAATTACCTGAGACAGGGATATTTGCCTCCTTTCTAGATGTTTTTTAAAATTACCTGAGACAGGGATATCTGCCTCCTTACTAGGTGTTTTATATATTTACCTGAGACAGGGATATTTGGCTCCTTACTAGATGTTTGATATAATTACCTTAGATAGGGATATTTGCCTCTTTACTAGGTGTTTTGTATAATTACCTGAGACAGGAATATTTGGCTCCTTACTAGGTGTTTTATATAATTACCTGAGACAGGGATATTTGCCTCCTTACTATGTGTTTTATATAATTACCCAAGACAGGGATATCTGCCTCCTTACTAGGTGTTTTGTATAATTACCTGAGACAGGAATATTTGGCTCCTTACTAGGTGTTTTATATAATTACCTGAGACAGGGATATTTGCCTCCTTACTATGTGTTTTATATAATTACCCAAGACAGGGATATCTGCCTCTTTACTAGGTGTTTTGTATAATTACCTGTGACAGGAATATTTGGCTCCTTACTAGGTGTTTTATATAATTACCTGAGACAGGGATATTTGCCTCCTTTCTAGATGTTTTTTAAAATTACCTGAGACAGGGATATCTGCCTCCTTACTAGGTGTTTTATATATTTACCTGAGACAGGGATATTTGGCTCCTTACTAGATGTTTGATATAATTACCTTAGATAGGGATATTTGCCTCTTTACTAGGTGTTTTGTATAATTACCTGAGACAGGAATATTTGGCTCCTTACTAGGTGTTTTATATAATTACCTGAGACAGGGATATTTGCCTCCTTACTATGTGTTTTATATAATTACCCAAGACAGGGATATCTGCCTCCTTACTAGGTGTTTTGTATAATTACCTGAGACAGGGGTATTTGGTTCCTTACTAGGTTTTATATAATTACCTGAGACAGGGATATTTGGCCCCTTACTAGGTGTTTTATATAATTACCTGAGACAGGGATATCTGCCTCCTTACTAGGTGTTTTGTATAATTACCTGAGACAGGGATATTTGCCTCATTAATTACTAGGTGTTTTATATAATTACCTGAAGCAGGGATATTTGCCTCCTGACTAGTTGCAGCAGCTTGAGGCTCATACTCATCCGAGTCTCCATGACGGATGATGCGAGCTTTGACCTTGTTATAAGTGTTAGAGCCAATGATCATTCGATTAGCAGCAATTACACCTTTCCCATCAGGTGTGAAAATCTCCTGCTCAAAGCTGTAAGACAAAATATCAAGACTCAATACCCTTATATTTCTCTTTTCTCTCCAATCCATTCTTACTTTTTTGTGGTGTCTTGCTTGGCAACCATCTTCAATATATAAGATATTAGCTGACGGCACTATCTTTATCACTATTCCCACTACACTTCTGGTCATTTAGGGATAAATTACAGATTCATTTTTCTTCGATGGACCATGAAATTTAAACAGATTCCAACAAATATTTTGAGGACATTCAAACTATCTCTTCAAAATGACAAAATTAAAGGGGAGATAATCAATTGTTTTGGGTAATTTAGTCTTGTAGAATTAACGAAGTGGCTACAAATTAAATACATTATACCGAGCTATACTGGCCCTGACATTAGACTTAGAAATATTGACAGGTAGATGTCTGTTAAGTATTCCTTACAACAGACATCTGTCTACCAGCAAAATGTCCCAGTCTAGGCCAGAGCTAAGAAGAAGAAGAAGAGGAACCTCAGGCTAACGTAACTCCGGAACGTTCGTCAAACGTAACATGTCTAAAGCATCCGAACTTACACTTGGAAATTCATACAATCTTGTTTTATCTAGAAGTCATATATGATCATATTAATTTGGAATATGAATGACAGGCTAAATTATGTCCCTTTAAGGTACTAACCGGTTCATTTCCGCTTCCATTTCCTTCAATTTCTGATCAGTTAGCATCTGCATGGCCATTTTGTCCTCCATTTTGCCGGCGTCTATATCACTTGGACGTTTGTTTGGAAACAAATAATAACTAAAATGGAGCAACGGTCCTTTACATCCGGATTTAATTTAGCGTTGATCCTGTGTATGGTAACGACCAGCGCGATGAAATTATTTGGTATTTAGGCTAAAACTTGGTTTCTTCTATGATTATTTAAAAGCAGGTATCCCCGTGTCATCGGTTTCGGCAACTTAATTAGTAACCGCGATTTTGTATGAATGCGTTTTGTATCCATATAAAATAACCAATATGCCTGTGATTGGCATACACATAAATGGACAGGGATGAACTACAGCAACTGAAAACTGCATTTAAAACACGAATAAACATTTATCAACAAAGTTTATCTGCCGGAAGTTGCCGTCATCTGTTTCGGCGCAGAGACTCTTATCCAGTGTTCAAAGAAAGATACACTAAAAAGGCTTTTTCCCCGGTGTTCCTTACAAATGAGTCACTGTACATTTATATCATTTTATCGTTAAATTAAAACCAGAATTTTGTTTGCTCATATAATTCTCCATGTTGAACAAAAAGCATTCAAGTTCAAATCAAGTTATTTAATATTTTTAAATTTCAAAAGTATTTTATTGACAATACATATATAATACGAATATATAAGTTAACATTAAAGAAGATATTATAACAGTATTGACAAAAGAATAAGACAACAGGCTTTGCCTATATCAGTCTTCTTCTATTTCCGGTAGCTATGTACAATGCTTAGATATATAAAATGTTGTAATTCGTTTTCCTCTCACACACATGCACACCCACACCAGCTTATGTCTAATACTCATTATTTAAGGGACGAAACTGGCCTGAATAATAATAATAACAATACATAAATATTCATTTGGAATTTATTTAGCACGTATAAGTAACGAAACGTTTTGATGATTTAATATGAGTCAACATGTATAAGAATAGTTTTATTTAATTGGTCGGATGCATTACTAATACCATATACTAAACAGTGCATATTTAAATATCCTAATAGATTATATATAGTGGTAATATGATGCCTAATATTTGAATACAGAGGACATTGAANAATTGAAAGAAAAAATGTATTAGATATTCCCGCTGTACACCACATACACAGGAAGCATCATCAATCATATGGTCTTGTAACTTATCAAAGATAAGAATACTTTTAAAATTTCTTAGCTGACTTAAAATGATGTTAAGTTTCCTCGGAACACAGTTAATAAAACTTTCTGAGACAGATGTATCAAAGGTTTTTTAAAGTTTCGTTTTAAAAGATGAAATTGAGATGGACTCTCGTACAGTGCTATCAAGTGCATTCCATTTTACCATTGTAGAAGGGAAGAAGCTATTCATATAAGTACATGTAGTAGTTCTTGTCTGTGGTATATTAAAGAATCTGTTATTTCTGAAGGTATAGTTATTATTTACATTTAGAAATGGTTGAATGATATTATCGAGATAACTTGGAGTGTAATTGCTTCTAGTTGAACTGATTCTAATTAGTTTATGATGTTGTCTTCTTGTGTGTAATGTTTCAAGTTGTGTTTCAGTATACAGGATGTGATGAGATGTACCTCGTCTGAGGCCAGTAATTAAACGCATAGCTTCTAGTTGAACTGATTCTAAAAGATCTGATTCAGATTTGGTACAACTATCCCATACTATATCAGAATATTCTAGCACATGTCTTATATAAGAGACATATAATGTTTTTAATGTATTCCTATCAACTGTAGTTTTTAAAATTCTAAGAATACTTAGTCTAGAATTCGCATTGTTAATGTGTCTACGAGAGAAGTTAATAGCTACAGTCTTATTCGGATTGAATGGGATCTGCCATTGCTGTGACCATTCAGAGATTGAGTCAAGATCATCATTAAGCATGTTAGTAGGTGTTGTAAGGTCATTGTTATTATTTACTATTACATAGAGAGGGGTATCATCTGCAAAGAGTTTTATATGAGAGGTTACATTGTTAGTAATATCATTAATAAAAAGAAGAAAGAGAAAGGGATCAAAGCCAGATCCTTGAGGAACCCCTGAAGAAATAGGTTTGGTACTAGATTTATAATCTTCAACGATAACCCTTTGTTTTCTGTCAGATAAGTAAGCTTTAAACATTTACCTTTAATACCATATGTTATTAGTTTATATAATAGGCCCAAATGCCATACTCGATCAAATGCTTTACTTATGTTACAGAAAACAAAACACAAATCTTTACCTTGGTCTAAATTACTACTTATAGTATTATAGATATCAGCTAGTTGATTAGTAGTGGAGTCTTTGGGTTGAAATCCTGACTGATGTACACTTAACATATTGTGACTTGAAATATAATCAAACGTCAATCTGATTAAAATCATATCCTACGTTCTCTACGTATCACGTAACGTGGTACGTAGAGAACGTAGGATATGATTTTTATCAGATTGAATCAAACGTATATTTAAAAATATTTTTTTCTAACATTTTGATAAAAATAGATGTAATAGCAATAGGTCTATAATTATTGAGATCACTGATATCTCCTTTACCTTTATAGAGAACAGTTACATTAGCCGTTTTTAGTACATCAGGTATTACTCCAATAGATAAAGTTCTATTAAATAATAGTTTGAGTGGGTATACTAAAGAAGAAGAAATGTTCTTTACAATCATAGGTAAAATACCATCAGGACCAGCTGGTTTGTTTTTATTAAAAATGTCAAATTGGTTAGTTATACCTTGTTCAGTTATGTTAATATTAGAAAGTTCAAAGGGACATAAATCAGGTAGGTTAGTGTCAGTAATATCAGAGGCAATGGTGGTAAAGAAGTTATTTAGTGCTTCAGCTTTATCTTGTGGATGGATTAATATAATATTTTATTGTTAGATTTTAAAGGATAAGAATTAGTGCTAGTGTTATTCATTTTTGTGTCGCCTGCGAAAAGCTGGTGACACATAGTATTGCTATGTCGGCGTCGGCGGCGTCGTCCGCACAGAGGTTTTCGTGCGATAACTTGAGTTTCCTTGGGCCGATCAAACTCAAACTTCATGCAGTGCTTTCTTACCAAAAGTGCTTGCTTGGGATTGTTTTTCAGGTCCGAAGGTCAAAGGTCAAGGTCACTGTTACTATAAATAGAAAATCTGTTTTCGTGCGATATCTTGAGTTTCCTTGTATACTAAACACCATGGATCTACCACTTCACTAAAACTGTATACTGGACGGCTTCTATCTACCACTTGACCCACCGTGTATACCTCTGAAATGCCGTCTTACTCCAAATGTTATTGACAACACTAGCTGTTTAACATCATCATCCACAAGTTTATTCATTTATTTATGGGAAACCATTGACAAATCATACAAATTAAACTTGGAATTGAGACAATGAGTATCCATAGCAAGTTCATAGTATTCTTCCCAGAATAACAGATTATATAACAAAATGATGCCATCCAAAAACATAATCTATGATTATTGCTTACTTTTAACATTATTTCTTGAAATGAAAAGTGTATCTATTTCTTCGTAATCTCCCAGCTTCCTGCGCAGGCGACACATCCACTTCCGTGGAATTCTTGTTCCTATATAGTTTGCTATCTGCCACCATATTCTTGGATGCACTGTTTTGTCAGCAAGACAATTTTGAAGTTTCTCAAAGTAATTTTCTTTGGATTGTCGAATAATTTGTATAGTGTCATTGCGACAAGTTCTAAATTTTGCCCAATCTTGTTCCCTATTTTTATTTTTAGCTATTCTATGTAATCTATTCTTATATCTTAATTTATGCCGAATTTCACCAGCATCCATGGTTTGTCATCAGGATGGACAGTAATTGTTTTATGAGGTATATGGGAGTTGGTAGCAGAGTTTATTTTGTTTATAACAGTATGATATATTTCATTAATGCTAGTAGTGTTATTAACTATGGAATCCCAATCATTACTAAGTAGTTCATTATTAATAGCATCCCAATTAGCTTCTTTGAACTTATATATAGGTTTCTTGAATGGTTTATTTTTCAGTGTTTTAAACCAAATGTAAGCAAGGATGGGGCAGTGATCACTACAGAGAGGGGAAAGTACTAGTGTCGTGGTAAAAATGTTAACATTATTAGTAATAAATACATCAATTAAGGTAGCAGTAGTGTTTGTAATGCGTGTTGGTGATTGTATTAAGTTTTTCAAATGATATTTAGTAATTAATCTTGCAAGATGTGAATTAGGTTTCATTGTGATAAAGTCAACATTTATGTCACCAATGACAATGATATTAAGATTATTATTAGAAAGATTATCCAAAATTTTATAAAGTTTATTCCAGTACTCTATTTTTGTATTAGGAGGTCTATAAAGGCAGCAGAGAAGTATTTTTTTGTTAGAAGTGTTAATTTCCAGGATGACAAGTTCTATGTCTTCAGTTTCAAGATCAGTTCTGTGATTTATTAAGAGGTTGTTTAAGTATATATCATAATACCACCACCGTGTTGTGATTGTCTGTCTCTACGATATGAGTTGGGATGTGATTTAATTTGCAAATCAGATTCAGTTATTTCATTATTCAGGTGAGATTCACTAAGACATAGGATGTCATAGTTAGTGAATTCAGTATCTATAAGATCAACCTTGTTCCGAAGGGACCTAACATTTAAGTGCATTATTGATAAATCATTATAATTATAGTAGTTTCTTTGATTAATACTGATTGATGAGGGACCTGGATTAGAGTGAATATTTCCAGACATCAGAAGTAGTAGTTTTATAAAAAGCAGACTGTATATAATATCTTGAGTATACATGTAGTGATATCATATTGGTATTACAGGCAGTAATAAAAGAAGATCTATAACATAGCTTACAATCACACACAAACATACTTACATACTACTAACACACCATTTTTTTTTAAATGCAGAGACTTGAGGAAAGAAATAACAGAAGGGACTAATGAAAAAAAATATTATCAGAATGTGGAAAACATCAATTTGATATTTTAAATATAAATTCCATAGGGAGTGGTATACTGAACTTAGGTATTATCA